GGGGGGAGAGCTACACCGGAAGGCAGTCTCGCTTATTTTTATTAGAGTATAGGATTACATTTTACCAAATTTCACACATATAACAAGCATAGTCTGGAGTCTTAAAATCCGTAATCAAATTAATTTGAGAAAAAGTTTCGTTTCCATGGATTCGACGGCCATATTGGATTTTCTTGACATGTCTTACGTAATGAATACAAATTATGCACCGTACTTACTTTTCATGGAAATAGATTGGAGTTTTTCGTGGGTGTTTTTTTTTGTTTTGTTTTGTTTTTTTGTCTTTTTTTTGGGGGGGGGGTTGTTTGTTTGTTTTTGCATGCATGTTAGCAAACGATAGATCGACAAATTTGTGTGATTAATTTTTCCAAAACGAATTAGAACGTTTTAAAAGAATTTTTTCCTGAGGTAGTACTTTAAAAAATCCGTGAAAATCCACACTCCAGACACCACCAACTAGATTCTATTCTACATATAAAAGATCCAACGAACACATTTCTAGTACATGTATTACGTATCTTCTCTTCATTCTGTGAAAATGTCACGTAGATTTGAAAAAAAAAATGGTGGAGTTATTCAAGAAAATATGTAGAAAAACCGCGTTTTGAGAAAAAGGACGATAAAGGAAAATTAAAATAACTCAAAATCCATAATTTTGAGCCGAATCGGGACTTTCAGAGTGAAAAATACATAAATAAACATTACAGATGTATTCTACAAACCATACTGAAAATATCGGTATATAATACGTTGATATTTATTTGAATTTGTGGCCCCAAAGACCTGTGAACTGCGCACTAGTCATCATCACATTCGCCCTCTTGAAAAAAATTCGTCCACAAGCCGAAATTAACACGTAGCGAATGAGTTAGGTTCGTTATGCCACGAACCACACACTGATCTGACTGAAGCTACCCCTTCCCCCTTCTACCCCCTCCCCTTTCCCACCCTAGAATTTTCAGCGCAATTTATACCCGAATTGTAGGTTAGGACGTCATGTTTACTCCATCACCCCACCCAAACCTCAACCCTTTTCCTAAACAAATCATAGGCTAATGATGTAGCCTACGTTAGTGATAAGGCCTTCGGTTTTCTTCATAATCATTCTTTTTCTTTTTTTCTTTTTTCTTTTTAGCTAGATTAGACTTAATTGTAATAATGAAGTTATCCTCCCCAAAAAACAACCAATTAAAGAGGTTATAAATTTGGCTGTAGTTATTCGCACAGGGTATGTGAACACAATGGAATTGTATTCGCACAGGATGTGCAAATACTATGAAATTTTATTCGCACAGGGTGTGTGGATACCGTGTGAATACTAGAAATGTTATTCGCCCAGGGTGTGTGAATACCAAAGATGAATACTATGAAATTATATTCGCACAGGGTGTGTGAATACTACAAAATATTATTGGCACATAGGGCATTTCAGAAGAAGGATGGAAATTATCTAGATCTAGCATTTCCCCATTTTTCCTTTTTTCACCCTCTTTCGCGTAGGGACAAAGATCATGGGATAGATCAAGAAATCTAGATCTAATTCTAATTGTGCAATGCGATACAACCCCCCCCCCCCCCCCAACTCAAATTGGAATTCTAGTTGTTGGTTTATGGTCTTGTTTTATTAAGTTCTCTTTGGAAAAAAACGAAGATCTAGAATCTATATCTACATGTGTTGCGAAATATTATAAAAACGTCCGTGTTGAGAAATTTGCAACTGGGGGTTCTAGATTCTATCTTAGATCTATATTTAGTAATTTACCAATGGAAATTTCCAGGAAATTTTTGGAAATATAACGTGAAGAGAAAGAGGTTTGTAGGGCCTAGTTCTAGGCCAAAGTATTTTTTTTACTATTTACCAACTAGCGGCCAAGAATCGTTGGTGGATATATAATTCATCTAGATTTGATTTAGCTTCTAGACTCTAGATCTAGATCTAGATTAGATATCTAGATTCTAGATTAGATCTCTAATCTAAGCCTAAAGTTAAAGATCTTTGGTTAAAGCCAACCAGTCAGTTTGCCAGTTTTCAAGATGACGGTAGGCCTATCGTCGCTCAGGAAAACGGTTCTGTTATGTTTACTTTTGCTGCTTCTTATTGGTATGTTAATGATGTGTCTTAGCTGTTTGATTTTAACGTGGATTCAAGCATTTTAGTTGTAATGCTAGAAGATCATCTAGATATCTAGAGTCTAGATCTAGATCTAGATTCTATTATATCAGTTTTTATTTCGTTTTTACATCCTGGTTTGGAGGTTGTTTAAAAAAACGAAGTGACTCGGACTCGAGTCCGAATAGACAAAAGTACTAGATCTAGATCTAGGTAGCGTCAATTGCCACCAAGTAAATTGGAGCTCTTTTGTGTTGGTGTAGTTGTGTGTGTGTGTGCCTTTTCCTGACCCCCGTCCCCCGGATTTATGTTCCCCGATATAAAATGAATTTCTGTTGGAGTTTGTGTGCGTTTGTAACCTTTTCTAGAATTGCCTGTGTTGGTTCTACACCGAAGTGTAGGCTAAGGCTAGCCTGATCTAGGCCTACGTTTCATTGAAAACACGCCAAGTTGGTACTGTAGCTCTAGACTAGATGCTCATCCAATGAAATTAGTAAGTAGAGAACAAATTGACCCATTAGTCATTAGACACACATTATTCATTATGAATAGAAAGCCAAAGATAGTGTTGTTGTCAAACTTGACACTGCTTCACTCGGTGGCAATTGATGCTCATGCTGTAAATTATTGTCAATTGCCACCGCGTCACTCGGTGGCAATTGACACTAGCATTCATTCGGATTCTGAATTGAGTCCAGCCTGACGTCCGTTCCGACTTCCGACGGTTGTTCCTAAATATTTCCAGATAAAAAGAAATCATGTTCGATTATAATGATAACACAATCGAGATGTGAGCTTTAATGTCCAGTTACTAGACTCTAGATCTGTCTAAACTGGCCCTCCCTGCATCATTAAAAGTATGAACAGAACAACCAAACTGAGTTGACCTTGCCGAGGGCAAAGTTAATTATGTCGACAATGAGATTGCGCGTAGCGATCTCGCACTCTCAGCTTGCTGGGGGGAAGAGGTTTTGGAGAGATGCCATGGCAGTCTGGCTGTCTGTTTCGTGCGATATGATTTAAAAAAATAATATTAATTACAGAAAAACTATAACACAACAAAATGAAATGAAACATGTGGAAAGACAAATAGTGGTGGAAGTAATGATGATTCTGTAGTGATGGTGGAAAGACCCTGAGTTGTCGGTTACCGTGTACTTAGAAACCAAGTTAAAGCCTGTATTTTACAGCTGTGTACTATCCACACTCCTATATGGATCTGATTGCTGGAGGATGACTGATCATGACCGTGCCAAGTTAACTTCCTTTCATACAACCAGCTTACACGCCAAATCCTCAGAATCATCAGGCCCAACAAGATTTCCAACGCAGATCTGTTACGAAAATGTAGGCAAGAGGACATGACCACCATAATAAAAAGGAGAAGATCAGATGGAGATGGATTGGGCCTGTTCTGAGAAGAGAACCAGACTCTATTGTGAAGACTGCCCTCCACTGGACACCCGAAGAACGTCACAAAAGGGGTAGACCCAAAGTGACCTGGAGATGCACAGTAGAGTCTGAAATGAAGTCCTGGAATCATTCATGGGGGACGCTGACCAAGATGGCCCAAAACAGACAGAGCTGGAGATCCTTTGTTGCTGCCCTAAACGCCAGATGGCGTAACGGGTACACAGCGGATTAAAATACCGTCCAGACCGCTCATTTGGTTTTTTTTCCCCGGTTCCTCCCCGACCATCCTGACCACCCTGCCCGCCCTGCCCAACAGCCCAGCGCGTAATCTTAAATAACTTGTCAGAGGGGTTAATTGGCGTGACCGCAGCGCCACTCCTCCTGTGCCAGGACAGTCGTAAATATGTCAGTTTAGTGCGAATTGACAGCCTCCTGACTCTGAAACTATAAATGCTACAAGGCCGACTGAGATTTCATTGTAATGGTGTAACGTGCTATGTTTGACCTATAAACCGGTATAACTTGTTTTCTTGCAAGTCCGATTATATCAGTTTTACAAGGGATTTAAGTAAGTCTGTGATTTTCAAACTGGCATCTTCAATGCTCAAAAATTTTCCGTTTGGATTTAAATATTTCAATTCAGCCCACGATGATTTAAACAGAAATTCGTGTATCAATTGAGGTGACAATTTTCATTCACATGTGCAAGTTTCAAGTGCACTAAGTTATTCTGTGATTTTCTGTGATTTAAAAAAAATATACCAACCCACCACTGTGAACGTTCATCCTTGCTGTTTTTAGTTTTCTGGCCTCATCTGATTTTCGTTGTCATTTTTAACAATATTTTCGTCATGGAGTGCCACACTCAACATGATCATATGGTGGGCATTGTGCTCAAACATCATCGCCTGCTTGAGGAGGCTGCACATGATATAGATGTACAGTTGGTCCTTCAATATAATATGGAGGATTGCACTCCTGGAATAGAACAAAATGTGCATGGCAAAAACTGGAAGTGGGCTGAAAAAAACGAGGGCGACATTCAATTGTTAGAGGGGTGTCAGGTTTTGTCAGCTAATCCAAGAAAAGCAGAGAGATTTGAGAGTGAGGGTTTAAGTGTACATGATCAGCTGTCAGAGTTAGAGTTTGAGGAGCTTAGTCCAAGGTCAGGTCCTGTCTGCTCTAAATTTGATAGCATCCTCAAACAACACATCATCACACCGCAGGCCTACCACAGTCGTTCATTATTAGGAAACCACTGCCATAAATTACATCACAGCCCATGTGTACAGACAGCTAGCTTCATTTCTAACAAAAAGAACAGTTGAATGTACACTGCGTCAAAGCATAATAGACACCACATTAATTGTTCTGAGAGATAAATTTGTTCAAGTAAACGACGCCTTCAAAGATATCCACACATTAATTGCACGTGGAAAGCCAATCACTTTAGAGAGAATACCACAAATTCAGTCATGCATCACACGATATATATATATTGTCTTTATACAGAAACATATTTGGCAAAGAAAAGGTCATCCCCAAACTAAACACCCTTGAGAAACACTGCGTTCCTTGGATACAAAAATATGGATTTGGAATGGCCTTCCATGGTGAGCAAGGGGGTGAGCTCATTCATGAGCTACTGTCGTGTGCATCACCCATCAAAAGACGAAAGTTTACAGCGGAAAAATGAGACAATGCCTCCAGTGCAACAATATTGTGTTCTTTTTGTATTTTGTGTTTAGGTTGTGTTTTCATAAGTGTATCGGCAAGGAAAGGTCTGTTCTGTAGTTACATGTATTGTGGATATTATATCGCTATGAAAGATCAAGGTCGCAAAGCAAGAGTATTGCAAAAATCAACTTCAAACCTGAATTATTACAGATCCAGACGCTTTTTTCATTTGGCGCTTTGTGAGTACAAATTTCATTATGTTGTCAGTCCTATGTGCAAATTTTATTGAACTCGTCGGGGGGAATCACATTTAAATTGATGTTTATAATTGATTACCCATGACACATTTATCAAATTTAGTCCCCTTTTTGAGAACTTCACAGCTTTTAAGTGTTTAAATGGTCTTCCAATTTTTTCATTTTCTTCCTTAATAAGTTGAATACTTACGTGGTCTTTATTAAAATGTTCATCTTACATTAGCTTTAGCTCACTGTGTTGGTAAACTTGGCAAAAAAAATCAAGAGCACTGCCGGTGTTCGGCTGATAAAGGAAATCCCCGGTGGTGCAGGTAAATGACCCCGTGACCTGGGGAAGTACTTGTTTGCCTTGCGCCAGCCGAAAGTTAATGGGCGCTCCAAACCCGCTGTGGGTAGTAAGTAAGTAAGTAAGTGTTCTTAGACACTGCCATTGGATAGGTCTAATGAGAGTGCAGTCTTTTGACTTTTGATACAATTACACAATCCTAGTAGGTAATTCTAGTTCAAATTGTGGTTTTACGTAAAATCCACCGGCGACAGTTATATATTATGTAACCTCCTTACCCTCACATAACTCACTTAGAAGCTGAGTCCGAAAAAATAAAACTTTTTTTTTCTTACCCGAGTGCGAATAAATAAAACCCGTATTCGGACTCGAGTCCGAATAAAGCTGGCCTTAAAAAAATGTTCTAAGCACCCAGATGCACTGTTTTCGAGCTAAACTGTCGTAATTTTTGCTGCAGAACATTATGATGGCTGTTAAAACTAAACACAGTGACTACGTTCACGGTGCCCTGAATAATCCACCATTGGCACAGAGGCACGACTGAAAGTGGTACACTACGGACTACGGCCGCTCAAGTAAAAGTAAATGAGGAAACAGCACAGGAATGCTCACATGACGAATATTGCAGTTGTAGTCCGAATGCAATGGAGTTTACGGAGGGCGAAGGCTAGCACAGTAAAACAGCTGCGGTCGACAAGGCCTCGCTTGCTCAGCGCGCGGAACACGACTTCAATCCTCTTCATGTGTGCGGACCCGGCAACACATGACAATTTGAAAATAAGTCCTTCGAAGAAACAATTTATTAAAACTGAAGTGGTTATGGTGTACCAATAGACATACACAGTCATCTAGAGTCTAGATCTAGTCAGTCAGGGTTGTCAAATTGGAGCCAAATCCCAGAAATTTGGCTCTTTTAGATGGCATCTGGCCCGGAGAATTTCATTTGGCTCTCTGGCTCTTTTTTTGCTCCAAACTCCAAATGTTGAAGTAGAAGGGGACAGAAGAGGCAAGAAAAAAAAGTAAGAAAGAATGAAAGAAAAAAAAATGAAAGTGAAGAAAAGAGCTTGGATTGTTTAAGATTATTAAACTAGTTAACACGATTTAATGCCCTCGTCCATTTGGTCTAAATAATTTACAACCCTTCCACCGTCGTGCAAGAGCATGGTCTCGTGCTCGTGTCTTTTAACATTTGTACACCCTCTCTGTTCCTTGAACCATAATGTATTGTGTGCGGAGAGGCCAGCCATCGTTAAGTGTGTGAACAACTAATGGTCCGGCCGGCGGCCGATCCCACATCCCGCTCAGTGTCAGTAGTGAACCTTTTTTTTACTGGAGAGGTGAAAATTGTTTTTACATTATTATAAATTCGTTCCCAACCACATGCGGTAAGCCACCGACGGCCTAGGTGATTTTATCGGCCTGCAAGAGGTCAGGGGGAGTCTCTAAAATTTTCTCCTTTCACATTCTTTCCTGCTCTCTAACAATGTTCTGTAGTCTGCTTTCGTATCCTTTTTCTGCCCCCACCCCCTCACCTCCTTTGCCCTCTCCTCTAAGCTCCTGGTTCTTTCTGCAGCCTTTTTATAGCTTCTTCTTGGCTCCTTCTTACTGCTATCTTTCAGCCACACCCCTGATCTTATGGTAAGTAAGATCTATACCAAGCCTTCTTGTACAAGCTCGGAAAATTGGTGATCAAAAATCAAAAAGAGTAGGTTTTGGCTGCCACCTGCGTAAAATTCAAAATTTCCTACCTACTGAAAATGTTAGGTGTGTCCCGCGCGCTCATATGACCTTATGCAGTTGTGAGCATCGTTCAACACCTTACAACCCCCCCTCCAAAAAAAAATAAATCCAGACTTGTTCCTGAATGCTGTGACATTTTAAATTAACTGGACAAGATTTTGTGATATTTCAGAGCTCCTTGATGTGGAAGCAAGACGGGGTGGTGGTGGTGGTGGTGGTGGATCCAGAGGTGGTGGGTCCAGAGGTGGTGGGTCCAGAGGTGGTGGATCCAGAGGCGGATACAGAGGCTCATCCAGAGGTTCAAGAGGTTACAGAGGCTCAAGGGGTTACAGAGGCTCAAGGTAAATTAGATACTTTAATGGCTTTGTATAGAGCCTTTGCCAAAAAGTGGGGGTGTTTGCATTAGGACTTTTTAAATCAACAAGTACTCATTGTGAAAAATATGTTTTCAAATAAAAACATAATGCATATTATGTAAGGAGATACATTGATTAAGCTTCAGGAGCAGATATATATTGATGTGTGCATCCTGTAACTCTTCATGGAAAGGTAATAGTTATAAAAATAGGGCGTTTGTAGGGGCCTATTATTTTAATCAGTGTTTTACAATAGTAGTCATTGTTATGAGCAAACGGTTCATTGTCCGTTAAATATATTTTGAATGCTTTTCAATGTAAGGAAACTTTAAAAACATGTCCACGGATAAAAATTATGAGGAGAGTATCATTTAATAAAAGTATTTTAAAGTGATTTATGGATCAAATACACGTTAATTTTTGGGTTCAAACTGAAGTTTGTCATAATTGTTTTGAATGAACGAAGCATTGAATATATTCTGAGGGTTTTTCAGTGAATAAACTTTGAATTCTTCTGACTTATTTGCATATTTTGAGGAGAGTCTCATAAACAAAAAGCATTTTATGTGAACGACAGAGCAACTTTTTAGCCCAAACTAACATTTGTCATAATGAGACAGTGTGTCATAATGGTTATGAATGGACCTGTAATTTGTTCATAACATGCCGTAGGACTAGTTTGCCTAAAAAAAAACCAATTGTGTGGTCTTTTATTTATCACTTGGCTATATTTAGACTAGAGTTTTCCTATCCTGTCAAATCTATGTATTTTTTAATGTTGTTTGCTATGAATCAAAATATAACCTCAGCCTAGCTGAAGAAAAGAACTTTGATTATTGATAAAGTTGTGTCATCATTGTTATGAATAAACCACATTTCCATCATTTCAGTTTGAAGAAGTTGAAATTCAATGTTTGTTGTCTTCTTTAAGGTTCTCTACTGACCAGCTTTTTTAACAGTATGATCTTATAATGTAAACGGCCAGTTACTACAGTTAGACTCGAGAGAGGTAATGATCACACAGTTTACAAGATAAAGTTCTGTGGTGTCTTTTGCAGAGGCTCCAGAAGTTATAGAAGCTACCGAAGTGTGAAACTTTCTGGACGTGTTGTCAAAGGTAGCAGCCGCTTCACTTCTGATACATGGAGACATGCTGCCCTAGATGATGAAATTTATGGAGGCCCCAGCTACATCAGGAGGTATCCTGGTCGTAAAGACAGTAAGTATACTCATACATGTTTTCTTTTTTGAAATTACAAATATGAGGCATTAATGTGATGAAATCAGGCGCTCGTCAAAATAATGAAATTGAAGAAAATGGCATTTTTCTTCCTATTTGGCAATTTCTATCAAATTTTTATTTTTTCGCCTAACACCTTTTATGTCCATTTGAAAACATTTATAATGTTCTGTGAAATTGTACCAAAAAAATTCATTAAAAGCTAAAATAAATGTAAATTTAGAGTCTTCAAAGACTCTTAAGCTTTGGAAGTCACTAAACTTTGGCAACCATTTTCTCGCTAACTTTACCTGTGATATGATTTCCATAAATAGTTTGAGTTATAAAAGTATTATTTGTGCACATTAAACGCTTATAAGAAAAATCAATTCTTGTGCCGTACATGTTTACACATCATGTTTATGGCCAGTTTGTTTTTTTCACTTTTTAAAAAACAAAATTTTGGTGGAAGTTAACTGCTAAACAGGCTCAAGAAGATAATTTTTTTCAAGGGAATACGGTCGATTGTGTACCGGTATACTTAAAGGAAAAAATGAAGGTGAAAATTGAATAATGAGTGGTTGTACTTGTCTACATTTTCATCTTACAGTACCCCCTATCTGTACCAACAATGTAAAGAAACGAGCTTATAGCCAAAAAATGGGATACTTTATCTGTCCCATGGAGAATCAGACGTCTGACTACATCTACTGCTGTGGTCCTGAGAAACAGGAGTACTGCTGTAACAAAACAATGGCTCAGATATACTATGGGTGAGTAGTCTGAATCGTTACCCTTTGGTTTTTACTTTCTCTTAGAATTTTTGGTATTATTTTACTCATGGACCCGTCTCAAGCCTAGATATTCAAAAGCACTTTTCTTGGTCTTTACACAAATTTTGACTTTGTATCCACTGCAAATTATTCGTTTATATTTTATGAGATTATGGATATTTATATAAGAACTATATTACAATACAGCTCCAATAGCGTAGTAATATTTCACTTATTTTTAACAACATTGGGGGTTTCAAGGGGTCATGAATAATCCCTCTGTTAAAGAAAGTACATTAAAAACGACATCAAGCTGAGAGGGAAGAGGGGGGGGGGATGTGGGGGGGCGTGAAGGTGGTTGATAAAAGTTTGAGTCTCCTTTGATAGATCTCTATCTGGTTAAAATTTATTGTAGAAGTAGTCTCCATGTAAGATTCCACAGTTTATAATGCGGACTGTTTTAAGAAAACAAGTTCTACTCCACAAAAAACTTCCCCAAGATTCCATTCTGGTCTGAAGGGACCAAATCCGCTAAGTTCCCACATTTAAGATCATAACTTACTGAACAAAAAGCCTGGACACAGGCGCGCGCAGCTGATCAACTAATGCAGCGATTTGCAATAATTGTACTATCCGTCCCTTCATAGATCATCCATGCTCATGCATGTGATCACATCTCTGCTGTTAATCTTGATGAGCAGTAAAATGTTTGCCCCAGATGCAAGGACTTTGAATAAAGGGATCACACACAGTGTGAACTCTTCGATGCCTTTGATTTCTCCAAACATCGAACTCGCATTATGAGCCTTCCGCCTGAGCTTACAGTGAGGCATGATTCGGTAGGTCGAGCCAACAAGGCCGCGACAGACGGGGTCACATTGCAGTGCTTTTATTTCCCTGGTCATCTCACTTGACTGTCAGGTCTGCACCCGAATTTGCTGGACAGACTGGCACCCTTACTCGGGGACTGTCCAATCGTCTATATGTAATGTTGGCAGTGAGCCTGCCTTTCTTTCTTTGAATTTTAATCGATGTGTTCACAACTCAATGATGGATTACGGTATGATTAATAACAGTGATCTCGGTCAGAGATGAAGTAAAGCAATAAAATCAATAGGCTAAGGAACCCAAAGACACAAGCAAATAAAGACTAGTATTTGTGCATCAATATAGTTCATCATCATTGCTTTTCTCACCCTGGATCAGGATATAGGCCCAGAACGAACACTTTCCACCTTTCCCTATCCTGGGCTAGTCGCTTGATGTCACTCCACGTCTTCCCACTTTTCTGTACATCCATTTCCGTGACTTTTGTCCAGGTTCCACATGGTCTTCCCCTTGATCTTTTACCCTGTGGGTTCCAATCTCACATTTTCCTTGTTATGCAGCTGTTTGTCTTCCTGAAAGTGTGTCCAATCCATCGCCAATGTCTTCTTCCCACCTCATCTCTGACTGGGCTTTGTCTCGTTCTTCTTAATACTTCCTCGTTGGTGATCCTGTCTGTCCTTTTGATCCTCAGTAGCTTCCTCAGACACTTTGTCTGAGATGTGTTCCACGTCTCACATCCATACAACAAGACTGACTCACATTTGAGTTGAAAATTCTGAGCTTTGTTCGTAGTGAGATATTCCTGGTCCTCCAAGTCCTGTTCAAAGAAATAAATGCAGTGTGTGCCTTTCCAATGCGGGACTTTATTTCAGCGCCTGCCCCTCCCTCTTTGTCAATTATACTCCCAAGATAGCAGGTTTCGACGTCTTTTTGTGTATTTCCTTGTACTGTGACCTGCTTCTTTCGTAGTGCATCTATCCTTAGGACTTTTGACTTTCAGGAGTGGGTCCTCAATCCAACAGACTCTAATAGGCTGTTTAAAATTGTTGTCTTTGCTTGCGTCTGTTCCTGAGTGTGTGACAGAAGCGCCAAGTCATCTGCAAAGTCCAGATCGTCCAACTGTATCCATGGGGTACACTGTATGCCGTTTCTGTGTCCTCTAGTGGTTTCCTTCATCAGCCAGTCGATTGCCAAGATAAAGAGGAAATATGATAGTAAACGTCCCTGTCTCACACCGGTCTTGATGTTAAAGCTGTCTGTGAGCTGGCCATCATGTATAACCCTTCAACTTGTCCCTTCGTACTTGCTCCCGATGAGGTTAACCAACTTCTGTGGGATTCCGTGATGTCTCAGTATCTTCCACAGTGTTGCTCAGTCTATGCTGTCAAAGGCCTTCTCTTAGTCAAGAAAGTTGACACTCAACCGGGAGTTCCACTCCAGGGACTGTTCCACTATGATCCTCAGTGTTGCAATCTGATCCGTGGTTGACAGATTTTTCTGAAAACCAGCCTGTTCATCCCGAAGTCTTGGATCCATTGCTGACTTGATTCTCTCCAGAATTATTCTGTTGAAGACCTTTCCTGGAATTGAGAGAAGAGTGATTCCTCTGTAGTTGCTGCAGTTGCTGAGATCCCCCTTTTTAGGTAGTTTCACAAGGTGCCCTTCTTTCCAATTCTTTGGGAACATGCTCTCATTCCAGATCCTGGTAAACAATGGGAGAAGGAGGTGTGCTGTCACATTGGCATCTGTTTTTAGGGCCTCAGGTGGAATCTGATCTGGACCAGCTGCTTTACCAGCTTCTTAATGGCATCCATAATCTCTTGTTTCGATGGGGCATCACAGCAGATTGGTAGCTCATTTCTTGCTGGCAGGATGTTTGGCGGGTTACTTGGTGGTGGTTTGTTCAGGAGACTGTTGAAATGCTCTACCTATCGTCTTGACTGAGCTTCCTTTCCAAAAATTGTCTTTCCCTCTTGGTCTTTTACTGTTACTTCTGGTTTCCCATATTTTCCAGAACGAGTCTTTGTAGTCTGGTAAAAGATTCGCATGTTCCCTCCTGCTGCTGCCTCTTCTGGCCTCTCTGCAAGCCTGTTGATGAATTCCTCCTTGTCTTTTCTCAGTGGTCTCTTTACATCTTTAGCTGTTGTCCTGTACTGCTCCTATGTGTCCGCTTTTGGTCCCCTTGTTCTATTTGCATTTGTCTCTGCTTTCAATTGTCTTCTAATCAAATCCAATGACCGTTGGCTAATCCATTTCTTAGGCTCCAATTTCTTCTCACGGAGTGTTTCATGACATGTTGAAGTAAAGACTTCTTTGAGCTTGGTCCAGTGCATCTCCACCTCCATGTCCTCCTCACCAAGATCCGCCAAGGGTAGAAATCTTGTCCTCAACTGCAGTTGAAACTCCTGTTTCTTGTGTCCATCTAAAAGACTTACTTGAAACTTCATTCTTTTGGTTCCTGTTCTGGTTCTGTGCATTTTGAGACGAAGCTCGAGTTTTGCTAACAGCAGATGATGATCCGATCCAACGTCTGCCCCTCTCTGTACTTTGACATCTTCAAATGAACGCCTGAACCTACGAGAAATACAAAAATGATCGATCTGGTTCTCTGTCCCTCCATCCGGTGATACCCAAGTAGCCTTGTGGATCCTCTTGTGGGGAAATACAGAGCCTCCGATGACAGGAATGTTGAAAGCACAGATATTTGCAAATCGCTCACCTTTCTCATTCATTTGTCCCAGGCCATGTTGTCTCATGATCCCCTCATACCCTACGTTGTCCTGACCAATCTTGGCATTAGCATCTCCCGTTATGATGTTGACATTCTTCCTTGATAGTTTGTCGATACCCCCCTGGAGCCTGCTGGAAAAAGCATCCTTGTCTTCATTAGAAGCATCGTTTGTTGGGCCGTAGATCTGTACTATGTTTATGTTGATGCTCTTACTCCTGGTAGTGAAAGAAGCCACGATGATCCTCTCCCCCTGTGGTTCCCATCCTCTAAGTGACTTCTGTGCTTACTTACTCAAAATAATTCCAACTCCCTCCGCTTGGTGCTTGTCTTTCCACCCAGAATACAATATTTGTTCCCCCAAGCTGAGCTGCTTCTGTCCAGACTGTATCCAGTGGGTTTCGCAGACTCCTAGTATGTGCAGCCTGTATCTTTTCATCTGTTGTGCCACTTGAGAACACTTTCCTGCTTCATCCATGGTGCGAAACATTCCACGACGCAATCCGGAGAGACTTGTTCGACAGAAGGTTTCGGGTCAGAGGAGTCCTTTCGGCTTTGTCCGCTGTCTTTCATTGTTCCTGCTGATGCAGAAGCTCCTCCGTCTCCCAAGATGGAAAAATTATATGACGTGTTTGTTTGTGTTTCTGTAACTTTTCTTTTTACTGGGTCGCAAACTGTCACTTTCGGGTGGCCAGACCTATGCACCTTTAGTCGCCTCTTACGACACGGAGTATCACAGCAGGTGTATTCTTTACTCCCCCAAAGTAAAACTATGGGGCTCCCCACCTGCAGGGGTGATCAATATAGTTAGTAAGGTTTTATCTCTTTTTAAAAGACAAAGGGTACTGTTGTTGTTATTATCTTTTTAATATTTAAAAATGTGGTTGGGGGGGAAACGAAATTCTTAGACATTGTTAGCATTCAGATAAAGCTGATTTTGATTCTCTTTTGTTCAATGTTTTTGTGTGAAGGCCTAGGCTATCTTAAGTGATGGCCCTTTACCTAGGGGGGGGGGGACGTCCTAGCTCTTTACTTTCACCACAACACCTGAAAGCTAGTAATGGCACTCCCCTTGAATAACACAATCATTATGTCAGATTCCCAATGCTTAGCTTCTTACTATTCTGCCTTGAAATGATTCTGTGTTTACTTGGGTTTGAAACTCCTACAACACCGCTACTCTCTCAATTGCTTTCTTGTTGACTCGTGGTAGGCTGGACTGTTACAGTAACGCTAAGGGATTTAGACTGATGTTCTGAGGTAGAAGTGGCACTATTTCATTCTTTCATTTTCTACTCCAGCCCCGTTTCACGAAACCCAACAGAAAAAATTCAACCATTTTTTGCATACCAAATTTGCTTATTTCCTCAGACGGCTCCACGATTCTGATTACGATTACTATGACTACGAAGCTGGCATGGAAGTTCCATTGGATGGATTTGGAGCTGTTTTGTTCTTTGGTTCGATCTTTGTCATATTTGCTATTTTTTGTGGGATTTTCATCCTTGTCTACCTCAGACATCTGAAGACTATGTTGATGACAGGTATTTGCAAGGGTGCGTACATACAATTTATATTTTGTGCTTTCGCTTTTTTCAATTAATGTATTTATTACCTTTTATTGTGGACATGGTCATTGAATGCCTTTTGTCATGAGACTCTATGTCAATGACTTTTTTAATTTTTTTTTTTATACAGAGTTTATTTTATAAAAATTTGTTATATGTTTTCATGTTTCTGAAATTTTTGCTTTACCATCCTAGGTATGGAAAGAAATTATCTTTCTTTTTTAAAATTATAATTTATATTCCTGAAAGTTTAGATGCATAACGCTGTTAGAGAACAAACTGATACCAAGAGTTCCCTGCCTTCTTGTGCTCAATTGATTGTCGTTGGACTGCTGATGGGACACATTGATAGCCTCGTGTACAAAACTACCTGGATGAAAAGCTCTTCATCATCACCGTTGCCTTTCTCACCCTGGGTCAAAGTATAGGCCAAGAACAAAGACGTTCCACCTTTCATTATCCTGGACTAGCCTCTTGATGTTATTCCATGTATTCCCACTTTTCAGTACATCGATTTCTGTGACTCTTCTCCAGGTTCTGCGTGGTATTCCTCTTGATCTTTTACCCTGTGAGTTCCAATCTAACACTTCCCTTGTTATACAGCTGCCTGACTTTCTGAGAGCATGTCAGGTCCATTGCCACCGCCTTTTTCCCACCTCATCTCTGACTGGGCTTTGTCTTTGTTTCCATAACACTTCCTCGCTGGTGACCTGATCTGTCCATCTGGTCCTCAGTAACTTCCTTTTGACACCTGTTCAAGAAAATTTGGATCCTCTTTATGCAAGTCTGAGATGCATTCCATGTCTCACATCCATACAACTAGACTGACTTCACATCTGATTTGAAAATCATAAGCTTTTTTTGAGGTGACATATCCCTGGTCCTCCAAATCCTATTCAAAGATATGAAAGCAGCCTATGCCTTTCTGATGCGGGACTTTATTTGAGCACCTGTTCCTCCCTCTCTGCCAAATATACTCCCAAGATAGCTGTCTTCTAGTGCATTTCCTTCTGTTGTGACCTGCTCTTTTTGATGTGCATCTATCTTTAGGACCTTTGACTTTCCGGGGTGGATCATCAATCCAACAGACTCTGGTAGGCTGTTTAAAACTGAGGTCTTTGCTTGCATTTGTTCCTGGGTATGCGACAGAAGCGCTAAGTCATTTGCAAAGTCCAGATGGTCTAACTGTGTCTATGGGGTCCACTGTATTGCCTTTTCTGTGTTCTCTGGTGGTTTCCTTCATCAGCCAATCGATCGTCAAGATGAAGAGGATCTGGCTCTTAGGAATGTCAACATTATGGTCAATAGTTCTGAGTTTTCGAATCGAAAACAGTTGCAGGCTAGACCATGAGAGATATCCTTTATGGCTTTTCTTTTAGTTTTTTTTGGTCTTTTCTTTTTTTTTTTTTTGGTGTGGTTTTATTTTAGTTGGGATTACATTTTCAAACCAGTCCCCACCACTCCCTAATACACAGTATTATCATGTACAATCTCATGGTAAACCAAGGAGATCATGTTTGAAAATTTGTCTTTGTGTTGTCCATATATTTGAAGGGATGTGAAAAGTTTTTGAGTAAAAGAACAGTCATGCTTAAAATGAGTTTGAACTCCGGAAATTGACCATTATGTCCAAAAAGCTGAATACTTAAATTTAAAAGTTTTTGATTTTGTTGTGTGTTCTCATAAATTGTCTTGGAATGCATAACTGTCTATGTTATCGTAGATCCAGCTTGGATAAAAGGCTGGAATCTTCTAGTGTACGCGTGCCTGCTCTATAGAGACAAATCAGTTGAACAACAGAAAGTACTCGTAAGAACGTGAAATACTTGAAATGGCAGAGATATCTTCTCTTTGTCCTACTGTATTTTGTCAATTCCATGATCCTGTATCCCTCATAGAGTTAGTTTGTGAAAGGTGATCCCCTTCTCAGCTCGCTCAAATCATCTTCAAAAGTCTGGTTTTCACCTGCAATATGAAAGAATAGTTTAATTTCAAAAATTGTATTTTTGAGTTGTGCAAGTGAGCTGTTTTCAGTGTATGTTGTTCTTTTCCAAACATCATAGTAAGAAAGAGGTAGAGCATACTTCATGACACGTCTGCCTCTTTAAGTAATTAATTTTTGTTTCTTCGTATTTGAGGAAACAAAGTAGAAAAATGAAGAACAGGGAGGTTGTGAATGGCAAGCTGAGAGAACATGTCTTATTGTGGATTGTAAATACCAAACCATGGTTCTGAGACTAGGTCTATCCTCAACTTTTTTCTTGACTTTTACTATTGTTATTTTAGTTAAAGATTCTTTTGTGCTCCTGTATGACCATTGCAATTTGTGCTTATGTCCTTTTCTGTTGCTGGTTTTTATGTTTGATGGTCTTCGTGCTGAAGTTCAACTGTGGTCAATATTAGCTTTTATTGCATCCACAGACAGTAATGTGATGGGTTTTTATTTCATAGGTAGGAGAAATAACCGTACACCCAGGAGAGAAAGGCATACTAAGAGAGGTAGTGTACGTTTGATTTTTTCCCCCTGTTTGTGACTGATTGATTTGCTTTTCTAAACCCTTATGCCTCTATTCGTTTGTTTAATTGCTTTATTTCTTACTCCAAACTCTAGAGCAACTTTAGGCTGAGGATTTGACCAATTTGTACCTTCGATATATGAAGCATCATGGTGAAATCAGGAGCTCATCAAAATAATGATTATACATTTTTCTTCCTGTTTGGCATTTTAAAAATCGAATTTCTCTTTATTGTTTTTTTAGCTGAACGCCTTTATGTCCTTTTAAAAACACATTTTTGTGTGAATTTTACTGAAAAATGTTGATTAAAGGCACTAAAATGTAAATTTACAGATTCCAAGTTACCTCTTGCTTTGGAAGTCACCAAATTCTTGCTAATTTTACCTCTGATACCAGATGACCACCACCTCCTTCAATCACAACTTGACTTGAATTGAAGATGTATAGCAAATGCATTAATCGAAAGCAAGACAAATGAACAAGCTTTAAGATGATACCAATAACTTCATATATGCCCTAAAAATTGAGGAGCGCCTGATTCCACCATGTCATTACATATATAGTGAAAGATAATCATACATAGGTTTAATTTGTATTTAGCTTTTATAACATACTAATAATGCGTCGACTTTTTTCTTCTCTTGACGTTTTCATCTCTCGTAGCGTAATATCAAGCAGACATTAAATTCTTTAGAACTTCTGTTCTCATAGATTGGGGCTATAGAAGAAAACATCTCAGAGCAATGGACTTCACTTATGTGTGAATAGACTAAGTGACCCAGATGTTTAAATTATGATGTTTTCTTGTCTTTCGACTTCATTTCGTGCCTTTTTTATTAGTATCCTCTTTATTAAGGTCTACCCTAGTTCAGATGGAATTTTTGTACAGATATAACCTTAGTGTTTTAACAATAATTGCGTATGTGTAGCTTGAAATTGACAGTAACGTAATATTCCTTATTACAACAAGTTTTAATGTAAAAATAAGTCTTAAAACAGATGCAATACCCTAAAAATTCAGATGAGCATTTAGACCAATGCTTTTGTCTATCAGTGTTCTTCATACAGGCTTTTTGGCTCCATGTAGGCCTATTGATGATTTACTTTACAACTAATTTATTTACTCTAGTTGCTTATTTTTTGCTTCCATTTGTTACTTAAAATCACAGACCTATTTGTTATTTCTATTTTGTGGTCATAATGTTGTCATTTCATTATCAATGTTTCAACGAGCTGTTTTAGAGGAACACACAGCTTCAAAGAACCGTTTGAGTAACAGAGATCCAGATTGAAATATCGAAACACCATCAAAGAGATCTAAATTTCAAACCCATTGACTGTTAATCTCAGAGGTCAAGGTGTATCCAATCTACTAGTTGGACCTTTTTCCCCCTTTTTTAATACTTGTGGTTCATTTATGATTTATGGACTTGTTTCTAATTAGAGATGAGGTTTTAGTGTCTTGTTTAATGTTAATTTCGTTCCCATCTGTATGTTTTACTCTAGTTGTCTTTTGATTGGGATTTTTTAAAATGCATTTTTCAAAATCTAGAATACAAATGTGTCATATACCATCCTCCAAATGTTCCTCTCTGAAGGCTTGGGTTATTTGAGGGTGCAAATGCTATACATTCTTACTTAATTACTTTTTTTCAGTTCTGTCGGTCTGTCTGCTTCTTCTTTCCTATCAAACATCTATCGTCCTGATCTCTCCTCTTTCTTTATTGTGTTTGTTACTCTATTGTAACACCTCTAATCTTCGGCACTTATATGACTGTATTGTGTTGCAAGTGCCGTAAAACTCTTACTAAAACTTAAAAAACCCAAAAAACAAAACTATGCTTGTCTTGCTTTTTTTCCAGCACTAAATAACTGTTATTGTCTCTATAAGTATATGCTATATAATATGCTTTGTTTAATTCAAACTCAAATTCTCTCCATAGAACTAAAGAAGGACCCCGAGCCTCTCCTGAGTCCTATAAGGCCCCCTCGCCCAGGCAAGGAACCCGTGGTCTCATCTGTCTGAGGAGACTAACTTCAGCGCCCCCAACCCACCTGGACCGCCTGTGGCTCTGATGTAAGCATCATGTTAGCATATACTCGTATACAGACTTTCCACGTATATGATTTTCTTGGTTCTATTTCCATTTTCTCGTGTTTCCGTTTTAAACATCTCATATATTCCAAACTTTAAAAAAAACTTATATATGAATGATAAGGTTGTTTAATATTAGTGTTGCTGGCCATGTATGTTTCTGAAATTATTCTTTGTGTTAGTGCCACTAGTGCTGTTTTGCAGAACTTTTAACACCTCACCTTGTAGTTCAAGGAAAAGCCCTGTCTTAGAAATGGCCATATTAATTTAATATCAACCCCAATGAAAGTGTAGGACTCAGTTTTTCTATGGTCTACTATCTGTTATATCATGGACTCATTATAAATATCTTGCTGGCTGTGGGTGGTTGGTGGGTGCTCCGGTGTGGTTTGCTTTTTCTTTCCTATCAAACATCTATAGTCCTTTTTTCGTGTGTTTGTGACTCTCTTGCAACATTTTATCTTCTTATATGACCTAATTGTATTTCAAATTCTGTAAAACGCTTACAAAAACAAAAATAGCTTGCTGGGTTATTGGAGGGTTTGGTTTTTTTTTTTTGGGGGGGGGGGGGGGAGGTTTAGGTGGGTGGACATCTGTCTGACTGTGTAGAAAATACGAATATTCTAAACTCATTTGGGTTTTTTTAATTCTCAGGTCCTCCCTACCCGCCCTCTAGCTACACTTAAAGCATTGATGAGATGTTGTCTTCGGAAATTGCCAAAGGAGCCCACTTTTCCAACATTGATGGCCCAATTTTTAGCTCAGTAGCTTGCTTTTGTACTTCATTTGATCTGTGCTTACTGATCGCAGCATTTTGGAATTACCAATTCTTTTTTACTTTTAAATTTTTTCCTAAGAGTGATACGATGTGAAACGTCTATCGTCATCATCTTTCCTCCTCCTTTTTTGTGTATGTTATTCTCTTGCAACACCTCTAATCTCTGGTATTCATTTGACCTAATTGTGTTGCAAGTACTGAAAAACTCTTATGAAAAAAACCCCCCCCCAACAGAACTTGAATAAAGAAAAGTTTTTCATTATGCTTAAGTTGATGCCGTCTAGTGGTTCTATATTCCTACTTGCTTTCAAATTATTGAATGAGCTCCTTACCATATAGCAAAGAAAATCAGGCTACTTTTGGATGGATAATTATGAGTATTAGAATCTTTGAAAATGTTGTATGACCGCTTGAAAAGGGGGGATACTCCATTCCAGGTTCACATTATTAGGACATTTATTGTCTCCATTCCAGGTTCACATTATTAGGACATATATTGTATCAAAATCATTCCCATTTGTTGAGTGAAGAACCCACTGTTCGACTACCTGTGAACAATATTGACGGAGCAATGCTTCCCATCGTTACAAATTTTGCGGAATCGTTATGATTTTTATTCAATTTGACTAAAATATGATCGTAATAACCCTGATTCCAATTTTTTCTTTTACAAATTCAGTCAAAGGCTCATGACATGTTTTGTACTTTCAAAGATTTTTTGTTTGTTTTTGCCAACAGTAACTCCTCCCCCAGCCCCCAGCCCCTACCCACCCATCCTTTCCTTTTTTCCTTAAGCGGAGGAGCGACCCTTGATTTTGCCGATTTTGGGTCAGGCTATGCACATTGAGATGTTGGCTGATTTTTGAAGATCAACCAGTTCTTTGTCTTAAAAAAATAAGTTTTTTTCCATTGGCAAGTGATTACACAACTTAAATTTAGAAACATTTTTTTAAAACTTTGGGAAAATCCTCTTTTTTTTGGGTACTTTTGCACTTATTGAAAAAAACTCGCTGTTACGCTGATAGGTTCTGGTTCAGGTATGCTCTCACTATATTTGTTCAAATTTGGTCAGTAAATAAGAAAGCCTTAAGGATTTGAAACTCATTGTTTATTTTCAAGTTGGCGGCCATTTCCATAGCAACCGCTATAGCTATGCCAAAATAAAATTGCGTATCCAGAGATTTTACTATGCTTGACTTATATATGTGTACTTAGATTTGATCTCTGGCAACAGACTTAGAAAATGGTCCTCTAGGGTCGCTCCTCCCGTTAACCCCTTCACTGCTGAAAAGTTTCCATCATCATCTGTACTGACGAGATAAAATTTTTATTAAAAAAATATTTAAACCCAGAGAATTGTTTCAGAATAAGCAAAATCTCAAGATGTAACTATAGCAACTAAGACTTCTTTTGTCTACCAGATGAAACAATATAAGTGGAGAATACAAGCCAGAACACACGTCTACTCAGCAGTGAAGAGGTTAACTTGATAATGACAATCCCGCCAATACCTTTTTCATCACGCCTTTGTTTACGTTACTGTACTTGACTACAACTCTGTCCTTGACCCCCAAGGGAAGAAGACTATCCATGGCCATATAATGTTTTTTAAGCCCTATTATTACAAATTTTCTTTGTTGATTTCTAAAATATATACTGGTGTGTGGGCAGCCGTGATAAACACTTTGCGGTCACACAATCAGGAGTACAAAATACCCCATCTGGTCACCCATCCGGGAGAGTGACTGCTACTGACTTCTCGGGCCTGCTGGCGCAGTTCTGCACCAGGTGACCTGAACGGATAATTTTCACTGTCGCATTATTCCGCCAAGTGACCGCAAAGTGTTAAGTATTATATAGTCAATGTGACGGCTCTTTTTATCTCTATAAGATAAATGGGCATTATAATGGTATATATAGTTGCTTGTTTTTAATTCTTTCAGTTTTGTTGCAACTTGTGTAACCTACTTTTTTTCTGTAGATTTTACCTAGTACATCTGCTTCTAGTCTCTTTCGTTTGCTTGTTTTTTATTGTTGACCTGCACTTTTGTAATCTATCACATTTTTATAGAATTATATGAGAGTGATTTTTAAATAATATGAATTTCTGTTTCTTTGTTTTTTGTAATGATGTGACTTTTTTCTCCTTTATTTTGATTCTTTTTGGAAGAATAAGTCTTTCGACAAGGTGGAATCAGGCGTCCTGCAATTTTTGGGCATATACAGTTATTTGTATCATCCTAGAGTTCGTTTGTCTATATTGTGATAGGAAAAAAAAACCTGTTTATCTTGAATAGAAGTCGAGATATTTGCGATTGAAGGAGGTGGGGTCACCTGGAGTCAGAGGTAAAATTACCGAGAAAATGGCTGCCAAAGTTTTGCAACTTCCAAAGCTTGAATGCCTTGGAAACTGCAAATTTACATTTTTTGTGTCTATGAATGATGCTTTACAATAAAGTCCACACAGAAATTTATTCTTAAATAAACGTAAAGAGTGTTGAGCCCCCCAAAAAAGAACATTTTAAAAGTGACCTACTGCTCAACGGACAAAAAATGCCAATTTCTTTGATTTTGACGAGCGCCTGATTTGACCACGATGCCTGACATATGATATTCTCTGGAGAAAATGAAAAGGCTTCAAACTGTCCAAAACAATGCTGCACGTTAAGTTTGATCTTTTATGGATAATGCACTGGCTTCCTGTTGAGATAAGAATTATGTACAAGTTGGCCACTCAATGTCACAAATGCTTGAATGATAATGCGCCATCATATTTATCAAATCTTTTGAAACTACATTCCAACTCACAGTTAAAGGTCATCAGCTGCCAAAAAGAAATTTCTTTTACCATCTATGAAACTTGAAACAATGGGTGAAAGGACAGTTCTGAAATGCTTTGCCCAGTGGTTCAATTTATTCAGAGATACAAAACATTTAAAGAGATTTTCTTTTGGTCATAACACAATGCACTGATTATATTATGTTACTGTTGTTTTATAAAATGCTCAGAGCTTGTGCCCGTTAATGGGGTTTGAGTGCCATACATACATAAATGCCATATATTATTATTATTTTTAATGTGTTCTTTTTTGGACCAATTGTTAACTTTCATTTAGCATATATGTGCCTTACTGTTGAAGTGAAGCACATGTAAAGAATCTTTCATGTTTTATACTGCAGTCCTTTCAATTAAAATGCTGTGCACAGATTTGTCTAATGTCTAGTGGACAGGAAATCTATTTGAAACAGCTCATTTAAAAAAAAACATTTTGTATTTTCCTAAGTGATCTTACTTGATCTGTTCTAGTTTATAACTATAACTAATCATTTGAAACAATTTTCTGAGACTTGCCTTGGTGTTAAACTTACTTGAATTACTTGAATGTAGAACTGGGGTCTTAAGAAGACAGGGTGCTCCAAAGGTGTCAAACTATGAGGTGGTAGAGTCAGCAAATAGCTGGATGGGTTAGTAGAAATAATTCTGTCTTATGTTGTTTATTCTGTGAGCTATATGTCCATTCTGGAAAGATTGGTCAGTTCACTCTGCCTGTAATAGTAATGTGTGGCACTGTGTGGGTTTTTTGGCTTCACGAAATGACACGCAGTGTGTGGTTGGAACAGAAATTTTTTTTTTGTACATAACTTTTGCTTGCGTCTGGATCACTGAAATTGGTACCAGATTACAGGACGTGTGAAATAAGGCTAATCTTATTAATTTTTCAGTGCTCTTTTCTAGGTAGTGGTAAGGTACGACCATGACGGTGATTCTTCTTTTTTAATTTTTTATTATTCCTATAAGTTATTCATTGTTTCTCCTTCCCTTAACGGACATTTTGGGATTAATGTGCTTCTCCTTCCTGGATAACATAAGCTTTTTCAATTTTTTAATCAGTTTGATTTGTTTGGAGAACAAAGGTCCCTGGGCTGCTTTGTTGGATAACAACATCAATATATGATAGCTATTTGCATCAGCGTATGAATTTTCTTTTGTTGGTGTTCCAACTATTCACATCACGTTCATGTTTAACATTCCTTTAACACAATATTGTGATTCGCTAACTTGGTAAGTAAATGTGTCAATTTCATTTTTTGACACGCGTATATATACAGGAGCTTTCTTGATGTTTGCAGTATACACGTCATTTAGCATTCTGTGTGCTTTTTTAAAGATATATATTTTAAGCTTTTGAATGATCTTGAAAGTTTCAACTGTTTTGGGTTTTTTTTACCCAGGCCATAGAAGCAGCGGGTGCCGCTATAGTCATGTTCTACTGTATGTGTTTATTCTTTTTTTACATTGTGAGCGATCAATTTATAATCCTGTTGAAAAACAGCAACACTGTCCACGGGTGGATCGCTGCGCTTGACGCACTTGGTCACGAAGATTTTCAAGAGGTAGAGTTATTCAAATGAAAACCTGTCAACCAGGAGATACGGAAATGACCAGGTTTTTTGTACCATCACAGGCGAAATGTTAAAACGACAGAAGAAGCTGTAAGAAATACAAAATAAAAAATGGAATCACCAGAAATTTTTACACTGAATAATGAGCCATTTTATGATTATTATTCAATAATGTTACTGCAACTTCTTTGATTTTTACCAATACCAGTGTGCAAATTAATAAAAGTAAAACTTTCCTCTTTTTTATCCTTAGAAGTACATGTACATGTATTTGTATGTTAAATCTAGTGGCATTTTTTGCCTTCATCATGCTAAATTACGTATGAATATAAATATAAAATATCAGATTCATGTCTGTAATAATTATCCTTTTATAAAATTTTACACTTTTAAAGATGTGTTTTCGGGCGTTCTTTTTGTCAATGTGTGAAATAATTCTTAATGAGTCATTCGGTCATTTTCACGATTGCATACGTCAAATATTCTTTGTTCTATGCTTGTAAAAATATTAGACTTGTACCCTGCATTGTTATCAACTACATCACGAAGTATTGACTTTACATGATAATAACTTTCAAAGCACAGGCCTCTGAAATTGGCATTTTGTGGAGTAGCAAGCAAAAATTGTTCACTAAAAAGCTATTTTCATACAATTTTATGGATTTACAGAATCGGTATTATAAGCCATGAGGAATTTTTTAGGCTTTGTATGCCTGAATATTGTCCCATGACTTCAAGAAGACATAATAAATGAGTATGTGCATTGTCATTACATGATTGGGTGACTCTTTAAAGTCCTGCTTT